AATTTTAAATCTGATGATGGCGCTGTTGTCTCGCCGAAACATACCCAGGAAGGATAAGAATATAATAACAAGTACACGCGGTCAGGAAAATAAACCAGAATAATTAGATATAAGCTTTTATAAAATGATGTTTTACATGAACAATTCCAATGCATTACTTTAATGCCATGTTTATTAGTAACAATGGAGGTCCGTTGCTCTAACAATTCTCTAAGTATAAGCCAAAAATAACCCATTTTTGAATTTTTACATTTCCTGTTACAACAAGGCGAATAACGACGAATGAGAAAAATAGTGAAAATAATTAATAAGCTTAACCGCAGTGAAAGCACCCGAAGTTAATTGAACAAACATTGAAGCTCCCGACAGAATATTGACTATGAATAATTTATTGGCGAACACAGCAGTGTAAAATCAACATGAAAACTAGAATTGACTATTGGAGGAAATTTCTGCACAATAACTTTTTTAAATCAAGTGCAACGCAACAGCCACAAGAGCTAATTACCACTTCAGTCATGAAAAAATTGATTATAACCGTATCGATTGCGGAAAAAACGTTGCGTTTTCCGCTTCGAAGCGACAATTGAAATTATTCAATACATTAGCTGAGAACAAAAGGTTGGTTTCATGTGTTTCCTTAAATAAAACGTTTTATCTTAAGTGGCCAAGTAATCGTTCTGCTCTGAGTGTCTTGCTGATGACGGTATCCGGCATCAATATTGTCAAAATCACTTTGAATTGCGTAATTTTTTTATTTATAGAGTTTTTCATTTTAGTATCATTTCATGTTTTGTTCCTTAATTATAAGTTTTTTGTCATTGCCTCTAAGCGCCCTGAAAAAAGGATTTTGCACTTAAATTATTGCACAGTCACACTCAATAATTAATAGGTAATCCCATAACACTCTGTACCTTAGATTGGCTTATTGGAAATTTGCCGAATAATCTAATCCCTTTGCCCGATTAGGTGCAAGTCAGCTAATTATATTGCCCAAAATACTGAACTGTTCATATGGTTAATTCCATTTAAAAGTGGATTATCATTGTCAAAATGCGTGGACTTCTTCTATGGAAAGCGCACAATCAATCGAATTAAATGAACGGATTGGTTATTTGCTCGAAGAACTAGCCGGGCATCAGCTGATATCGATTTTGGATAAACGCTGGTTTAATTTTTAATGAATCTGTCGCAAAAATCGTTCGCCGACGATATTATTGTTGAATAGACCATTCCCTACACGTTCATTAATTATTAAGTCTTAGGGAAAAATTGGAAATTTAACACGCATGTAAAAATTGAATTTTTGGTCCAAAATTTCATCAGGGGTGAGGGTCGATTTTTCCCAAAAAAATCAAGTCTCTCAAAATTTTTGGAATTTTACACCATTTTCGTCTCAACAAAGTGAGGAATGCAATCAGTTCATTAGAAAACACAAAAGAAGCTTCAGATCAAAAATATTCGACATTTTTGGTCTTTTTTAGGCTGTTTTTGATCGATCAGAATCTTTAACCGACGAGATCTTCATTATTTTGGACCCAAACAATTAAAATGTGTATTTTGGGGAGCTTCTCAAGTCGAAAACAATGCATTGAGCTGAAAAAACACGCATGTAAAAATTGAATTTTTGATCCAAAATTTCATCATGGGTGAGGGTCGATTTTTTCCAAAAAAATCAAGTCTCTCAAAACTTTTCGAATTTTACACCATTTTCGTCTCAAGAAAGTGAGGAATGCAATCAGTTCATTACAAAACACAAAAGAAGCTTCAGATCCGAAATATTCGA